TCATTTAATCTTCCCAAAAACCCAAAGAGGTATGTACTCTTATTATCCTCATTTTAAAGAAGAGAAAGCTGAGGCTCAGAATGGTTAAGTTTGTTAAGGTCACTCAATACAACTCCATGAATGTGGAGCAGCTAGAATTTTTAACCCAAGCAATCGGGCTCCAGAGCTTAAGTTCTTAACTATGTGACATTAGCTATATGAATAAATTGCTAATAAAATATAACTTACCAAAATGTAATCATGTAACCATTAAGTAAATTAATAATTTAACATCTTTCCACAGAGGTGCCCTGGCTGGTGTGGCTCAGTGGATTGAGCACCAACCTGCAAACCAAAGGGTTGTCAGTTTGATTCCCAGTCAGAGTACACGCCTGGATTGTGGGCCAGTTCCCTGGTGGGCGGTGCATGAGAGGCAACCACACATTGAGGTTTCTCTCCCTCTCCTTCTCCCTCCCTTCCCCCTCTCTAAAAATAAATAAATAAAACCTTTTTAAAAAAAATCTTCCCATAGTGAAAAATAGCAGGCCCAGATTACTTTCTAGAATTATTAGAAAAATGTTAAAATTTGGTCTACCTATATATTCCAGAGAACACAACAACAACCAAAAAAAAAAAATGGAAGGAAGATCATTCCTTTGTTTCGTGGTTTAAATTTGATACAACTCTCTCTCTTCCTCCCTCCCTCTCTCTCTCAGCAGTCCCGAGGTAGACAGTCCAGAGCTGGTATGCTGTTCCATGAAGGTCCCAAGGACTCAGCTCTTTATCCCTCTCTATGGGACCTCATCATCATGGTCCAAAATGGCTGCTAGCGCTGGAGCAATCATATCTGAGAACTGTGGAATTTAAGAAGAAGATGTCCTTAAAGATATTCCCTTGAATGATATGCCATATTTCTGCTTATTTTTCATTCTCCAAATTTAGTCACATGGCAAAATCTAGCTATAAGTGTCTGGAAAATGTGGTCTTCAGCTGGATATTAATGTGTTGAGCTCAAACTCAGGATTCTTGTTAGTTAGAAAGAAGGGGAATGTATATTGGGGGCAACTAGAAATGTCTACCATATTCTCTGAGATTTCTGAGGATACCATATACTTGATACCAAATACAAACAACAAACAAAAAAGAAAAATCTCAGACCAATCAAACAGAACTGCAAAAATCCTCAAGGAAAATACAGCAGTGGTTTTATTGAAGTTGAGCTTATCCCAATAATGTCAGGTTGGTTTATGTTTTTAAAACTTGTTAATGTAAGTCACTACATTAACAGACTGAAGGAGACAGTTCTAACTGATATAGAGACTTATTTTAAAGCTATCGTAATTAGAGCAGTCATATTAGCATATTTATAGATAAAACAACCAATGGAACAAAATAAAGAGACCAATAATGGACATTTCATATATAATAGCCAAGATGTGGAAGCAACCTAAGTATTTATCAACAGACAATTGGATAAAGATGTGATACATATATATAATGGAATAATACTGGGCCATAAAAAAGAATGAAACTATATTATTTGTAACAACACAGGCAGACCTAGAAGGTATTACGCTAAGTGAAATAAGTCAGACAGAGAAAGACAAATACCATATGATTTCATTTATATGTGAAATCTAATACACAAAATAAACAAACAAAACAGAAACAAACGCATAGGTACAGAGAACAAAATGATGGTTGCCAAGTGGAAGGTAAGTTGGGGAGCTGGGTGAAACAGGTGAAGGGATTAAGAAGTACAAATTGGCAGTTACAAAACAGTCAGGGAGATGTAAAGTACAGATAGAGAATATAGTTAATAATATTATAATAAGTATGTATGGTGCCACGTGGGTACTGACTTATCACAGGGATCACTTTGTAAGTTATATAAATATAAGTTATATAAGTGCCGTGCACCTGAAACTAATATAATATTGAATGTTGACTGTATTAAAAAATTTTTTTAATTAAACATATTCATAGACACACACCATTTCAGATAATGGTTGCCTTGAGCAGGAAATTGGGGGATTGAGGCACTAGGATACACATATGCCTTCCACGTTATTGATCATTGTGGAGGGTCACAGGTGTTCGTTATTGTTTGCTTTACATATTTTTTTAAGTATCAAATGTTATATAAGAGAATTTAAAGAATATTTAAGGATAGGAAAATGTATATGATATAATGCTTATGAAAAGAAACAGTGACTTATGATCCTATTTAATCAAAAGTTTAAACCTTTTGGTATTTTTGACAAGTTTCCCAAAAATCAAGCTCTTAATGAAATCTGATTGACCTTGAACTGGCTTTGGGATTTTCCAGAGAGTCCCTGGAACGTCTCAAAGATTTGTTCTCTCTTTTCATAAAAAAAGAGTTGCTTAACTAATTAGACTTATCTGATATGTTGAATTACATGAGAAACACTGTCAAATAAAAAGTGGTACTAAGCACTCTATATTGTATTAAATAAACACATTATAAGTGTTCCAGAAAATTATATAAAATTCTCAAAATTCTGATATGTCCTGGTATAATGTTATTGGTTATAATTCTAGTTATTCTCTTCCATTGTTATATGTCACAGAAACAACCAAATTTACTTGTCAATTCCATAATTTATTATATATATATATATATGCAAACTGTCACCAATCTTTTACTATGGCTATTTTTAAGATATTTTGTCATTTGCAAACAGCTATTGTTTTACTCTGCTGTTTTTTTGCAAAAGTGTCCCTGCAGAAATACTTCATCTTCAAAAAGATTCATGAAAAAGACCCTAACAAGTACCCTTGAATGCAAGTTTCTGATAACTTTAAGATTTTAACACAAACTAGGTAAGGATTTCTAAAACTGTAATGAAAAATTAATTGACTCATAAAGCTGCCAACCCAAGATGAAACAAAAGAATTAATTACATAAAACTGAATGAACTGATGAAAAAGATTATAATTTTTATGATTTCATTTAAAACATTGCTGGTTCTCCAAAGTTTTATTTTCTGGGTTTAAAGGACCCCTTTTGAACATGTATAAAGGACCCATGGACAAAGCCAAAGGAGGGTAGGATTGAGGGTGCGTGGTAGGAGTGGGCGTGGAGGTGGAAAGTGGTGGCAAGAAAATGGAGACAACTGTACTTAAACAACAATTAAAAGAAAAAAGAAAAAAATAAAGGACCACTTTCCCTCTTTTAAGCTATCTGTAACTTACAACAATTTGGCAAGGTGTATCTCTGCAACAATGGTTGAAGCATTTATCGTTTTATTTCTCTACCTGAAACCTGCAGAATTCTGTAACTCTTGTTAAATAGTCTTTTTTTATGACAATATATGTATTTGCATAAATTCAATAAGAACCTGATCTCCTTATAACAGGATGCAATTGAACAAGTCCGTGGTTTAGCTTTTTAGTCTAAAGAAACTTTAAGGATCTAATCTGAGAGTCCTTATGAAAAATTCTAACAAAGCAGGTTTAAAAGAGCCTATATTGTCAGTCACTATTCTTGCTGCACTGGCTAAGAGGGCCCTTGAGTTAATGAGTACACATGTTTGGGGTCCGAGCATAGAATGTGATCAGTTTCCCAGGTTTCAGGGCCGAATGGGTGCCACCTTGTCTTACCAGACCCTGACCTGAGGCAAATCTCTGTGTTTTTTCAATCAAAGCCTTTTGACATTGATTGATGAGCTTTGTATGCATACTGTATACCCCTGTGCATTTCGTCCTCAATAAAGGTCATTTCAAGAGAAGGGCTCAGAGCTTTCTCCACTTGAGGTAATCGCCACCCCCTTTTCCTGGCAGACTGAGAAGTGACTGGAACAACTTACTTTCCTCCATCCACAGAGACCCCCGGGGGGACTCTGAGGGAATGGGGTACCCCCCATCAGTAAACAACTTTCAAAACATTGAAACCCATTTGATTTATTTAATTGGTTAAATATTGACTCCCAGTAATCTCTGGACTAGGACATTTTTCAATCCTTGCCTATTATTCTCCCTATGGTCACCATATTAACCTTTCTAACACGTTATATACTCTCAAGAGTTTTAAATGCCTGTCAGCAGCCACTCTCATGATAAATCGTGCTCATCAGGATCAAATAACTGAAGGAAATAAACAATAACCACATAAACGATGAAAATGGCAACTACATGGTCCTCTGGACTGACAACACAACTCATGGAAACCGCCGCTGTGAGACTCTTTGACCTGGCCGTACCATCCGTGGTAACCGAGAGTAATGCTGTCCCGGTCAGTCATACTCTCAGCCTGCTGAGCAATGACCAAAAGGGGTGAATTGCTAAAATCAAAACCAAATGGAAACCAGCCTTGAAGTTTCCCAGAGCAGGGAAAACCAGTTTAAATAAACAAACTTAATTTAACATATTTTGCAAGACTAACTTGACATGGGTCATTTCGTGCTTATGCCTCTGAACATCATAAGCAAAGCCTAAACTGTTACCCAAGGTTGATATAAGGTAATCGCTGAAAATTCTAATATTGTAACCAATCACTGTGAAGAACAGTCACTGCTTTTCTCACTGTATAAGCTGCTTTAAAACAATATATTACTGGTCCTCATTCCATGTTTTGGTTTAAATGCTCCTGGTCTGCAAACTGTCCTTTTAGTGTGTGCACAGTAAATTTTTACTCATTATTACTACTTCAGTGGTTGATTGGTTTCACTTTGGGCGTTTATGAACCTTTGAGAAGTTTCATTCATTTTATTTTGCTTCCCCACCCCGCCCGCTTTAATTTGATTTAGTGTCATATAGCAAGAGATTTATCTCAAAGCAAACGATCAAGCCCAGACAGGACCTATCACATGCCCAGAGCCCTGTATCTACAGCTGCCTCCTAGAGGACTGAGAAACCACAACCCCTAACAGGCCTTGCGGGCCTGGGGCGGGGCTGTCCCTTTGATTGTTTAGCCCAGAGCCCTAGACCAGCGATGATTGGCCAGGTCTGAAGATGAGGTGGAGCTAAAGCCATTGCGAGACTTGGAGGAGTAACTGGGTCACGACGGCGGGGTGGGCGTTTGAGTTCAAACTCCAGCAGCAGAGTAGAGCCAACACTTGAGAGAACTATGGCTCTGCGATACGTTTGCGTGCTGGTCCTGGCTGCTGTGCTGCTGCTAGGTGTTGTCTCCACACCGAAGGGCCTGAAGGACAAGGAGCCTCAGAGGGCCCCGCGAATTCCTCCTCATTTCAGCCAAGAGGAGAGCTTCAGGATGAAGGAAACGCTGAAAGGTGAGCCTGGGGCCCCTTCACCCACCTTTGCTTAAACATGAGTCCCTCTCTCCTCCGGCTAACCTAGTACTCCCCACTCCCTTCGCAGAGGGTCCACTTAGCTCGCGCTCCTCCACACATCGCAGCCCAGCCCAGCCCTAACCTTCACGTGGAGCCCGGGCTTGGGGATGCCAGTTCTCCCCCACATCTGACTTCTGGGGACTCTGGTATCACCCACCCTAGCCCCTGCTTGCCTTTTTATTTGTGCTTTTTTTTTTTTCAGATTTTTATTTATTTATTTTCAGAGAGAGGGGGAGAGAGGGAGAGAAACAGGGATCAGTTGCCACTCACATGCACCCAACTGGGGACCTGGTCTGCGCCCTGACTGGTTTGCAGGCCAGCGTTCAGTCCCCTGAGCCACAGCAGTCAGGGATTTTTGTACTTTTTACCTTTGAAAGTTTTAGCGTCTGTGAAATCTCGGGTTATTTTAAGATGGAATCTATGCAGGCAGGGGAAATTGAGGTGCAGGTCAGTTAAATGATCTTCTCCAGGACCCCACAGCAAGGAGCGGGCTCTGAGTAACAAGATCTAGCACCCGCAGGACCTGCTGAACACTAAATGACTCCAGGAAGGGGGTGTTACTGGAGCGTGGCACGTTCCCAATTGAAAGACCTCTCTCCCCTACACCTTAAACCAAGGCTTTACCTCATTTACCTTATGAATCTGCTTTTTTCAGGAGAAAAAAGTGCAAATTTCTGTTGAGTGCTAGATCCTGTGGGGTAACATCTTCACCAGTGCGGTTAGCTACAAGTAATGGATTACAAGAAACTGCCTATGTAGGCATATGCAGGCAGATGCAGAGGCCAAAAGTTAACCGCTATGATTGAATATAAACTGGGAGTGCTGGAATGATTAGCCTGGGAGGTAAAGCAGTACATTTTCAAAGCACAGTGTATATAGCCCTCAAGAAGGCACTGGGCAGCCAAAGGCACAGGGTAAATAGCCCTCAGGAAGGCATTGGACAGCTGCTCACCAGAGTCCCTTTGCACAGAAGAAAGCGTGGCTTAGAACTGAACAGGAGACAAAACACCAGAGTCCAGATCTTAGTTCTGCCTCTCCTGTAGGCAGTTTATTTAATCTTTTTGAACCTTGGCTTCCCCATTTATGTAGTGGGCTATGATGTAGGGTTTGTCCTTAAAAAAACTGAATACAGAATTAAGTTTGTCCTTCAGAGGCCCTCCCTTGACCTCGAGCTGCTCAAGGTGCAGTTCCCCACCCTTGCTGTGTTTTGTGGTAGTTATCTAATCAAATAATCTCATGGTTTCCCCTCACAGTGGTGTTTGCACTTGATAATGGAACCCTTTAAAGAGTACAAAGCCTTCGTGGGGCACAGGGATGAGCCTATCGGCAGTTCAGGAACTGAGACCTCCAGGTAGGGTGGATGAGATTATTTAGGAGAAAGAGCTTGTTTGGGAGTTTCTAAATCCACCCCTTCCCACATGTCAGGTGCCCAAAAAGCTGGCCTTCACTGAGAGACCAGTAAGACTATGGATGAGCCAGCCCATGAAAGATGAGCCCATTCACTGGACAAAGCACGCAAAACCTTGTCCATGGAGGGACCTAGGACTGTGGGCTCCTGATTCATCAAAGGGATGGTGGTTTCAGAGGCAGAGTGAGGCCTTGGGAAGCAATTTATAGCACTCAGGGCAGGGATCAAAATCTACTCTCCTCCATCTCTCTACTCCATCTTGAATTATATTTTCCTTTAAGAACCATATTAACCTAAACAAACGCAACAGGCCTGCATTTAAATTTCAGCTACCCGTTTCTGGACAATCTTGAGCAGCTCACCTAACCTTTCCAAGCTTGTTTCCTCACCTTCAAATTAGGAAAAACAGCAGTACCTACTTTAAAGGATTGCTTTTCCCTCCACAATAAGATAATGAATGTAAAAGATGTTTTTATGCACAGAGGGCTGCAGAAAAACCAATGGCTTTTGTCACCTGTACTCTCCCACCTCTTGTTACAGGAAAAGTTTGGTTCTTCTTGCTGATGCAGTAAAGAATTACAGATCAGCAAGTAAACTAGCATGCAAGCAGAGTTCATTAGTGATGCATTCTCATGGAAGAGAATGGGCCTTGCCAATGTGGGGGTGAAGGGCATCGGGTCCTTTGTCCTGAGGACTGATATAGGTGGTGGGATGGGGCTGAGGGAGTTCCATATTGATTGGTGGATAAAGGTGGTACATATTCCCTGGGGAGACATGACGTCCAAACTTAGGTGTGTGTGTGGGTCTGTTAGCCTGAATTCTCATCTTGCTCCAGACCACATTTGTTGATCTTGTTGTAAAACAGGTATGTGGCAGGAGGCAGTTAATTAAAGTTGAGGCAGTTGCCCGGAGCTATTTATGGGCTCTTTCTGTTAGCACTAGGGACAACCTTGTAAAACAGATAATGACCAAAAGTACGCAATTAACCCAAGTTTTGTTATGGGCTTTTTCTTTAGGTACTGTAGACTCCCTCCTCTTCCCCTTTCGAGGCCTTGGGTTAAAAGCATGGTTTCAAAGGCTTTCTTTCCCAGGTAGTGGAAACAATACATAGAATTTCAAAGGCTCCCTCCTCCTGTGCTAGCATGTTGTTTCTTGTGATGTTGGAACACCTGGCGATCTTACTGGACCAGGCTCAGGACGGCTGAGTCAGTGGGCGAGGCATGTCTCCCTCCTCCTCCTGCCTTGGTTTGCTACCCATCATACCTAACAACACTCCAACTGTCCAACTCTGACAGGTGCCATCCAGATCCCCACAGTGTCTTTCAGCCCGGGGGAATCCAACGTGACAGCGCTGGCGGAGTTTGGAGAATACATTTATAAAGGTCAGCCACAAACTGTGGAAAAGCAGTGGGAGAGTTAGGAATGTGGACACAGTTCTTTAACAGGGTGATAAAGAGGTTAATTTTGTGACTGACCAAAGGACAATCTCATTCCTGTGGGTCTCTTTTGAGTTTGTGCATGATAGGGAGGGAGAGAAGGGAGAATCCAGGAGTTAGAGTGAAGGCAGAGGAGAGACTAGAGATTTGCCCTTTGGAGAACTAATGCACACAGCTGTTGGGTTGGAGTTTAACTCTCCCAATCCTTGCCCTTAATATGTGTTAGTCAATAAATCAGAAGGTAGAACTAAGAATTCCTTCTTCCTGTGCTAGTTTCCAGAACTGTGCCCCACGCTTGTCCCCCACCCCACCTCCATACAAACACTTACACACCTACTCACACGCACAACCTTGAGCTATCGCATTGGTCCTCTCTCCTCACCCCCACTGCCCATGAGCTGGAGGGTGGGTCAGGGGGCAAAGGAGATTTGGAACTCCCCACTCCCCCTATGAAAAGCTCATGAAGAGTAGTAGTAAGGCCATCTTCCTAAACCATATAAAAAAGCAGCCCCTCCATAGCTGACAGGGGTGGGAGAAGCTGGGCTAGGGGCAGCAGAAGCCTGCTCTCTGACACTCCAGGACAGGTGGATCTGAGACTAATCCCTAGCGGCCAGGCAGAGGCTGGCTGGAAGTCTTTACTAAATAGGAGGTGGGAAAACAGAAATATCCTCTCACTGCTTTTCATCCCTTTGCTTCTAGCCTTTCCTACAGTGTTCAAAACCGGCTTTATCCAGCATGAAGTCGTGGGAGAATACAGCCACCTGTTCACTGTCCAAGGCTCGGACCCGAGCTTGCAGCCCTACATGCTGCTGTCTCACATTGACGTGGTGCCTGCCCCTGAGCAAGGCTGGGAGGTGCCCCCGTTCTCTGGGCTGGAGCATGATGGCTTCATCTATGGTCGAGGCACACTAGACAACAAGAACTCTGCAATGGTCTGAAATGCTCTGTTCCTTCTGCCTTGGAGCCCTAAAGATCATCCCAGCTAATTGAGGGTGCTCAGCTAACCCCTTGGAGGAAGGAGATTATTATGATAGAGCCTTGGCTCCGGGAGACCTGGGTTCCAACCATCAGTTTGTCACTTAACTTTTATGAGCCTTGATTTCTCAACCATGAAATAGGCTTTAGAGTAGATGATCCCCAGGGACACTTTCAGCTCTGACATTGATAAATTTATACTTTTGTCCAGGTGGTCAAGGTTTTATGCAGAGCTCTGCTTTCCTTCATGCCGTCCCCCAAGACAATTTGAATTCATTATTTTTAAAGAGCGTCTATCCAATCCTAGTTGTACCAGCCCTGATGCAGGGAGCAGAATGTCTCTTGTGCCCTGGTTACTCCCATTAAGCAGTAACCTTTTTTCTCATTTGTTGTGCTTATGTCCCCTAGGCAATCCTGCAGGCGTTGGAGCTCCTGCTGATCAGAAATTACATCCCCCGAAGATCTTTCTACATTTCTCTGGGCCATGATGAAGAGGTAGTGTCTCTTCATCCTGTGCCTACCTCTGGGACCCCTCTTGGCCAAAGGCAGGGGGTGGGCGGTTGTGCTCTTCACCCAGCCCAGTGTGCGCCCCAGCTACAGGGTCTTCAGGATATGGTGTGGTGGTTTGCCAGCTTCTTTGTCTAACCGTGTGCCAGAATGATCTAAGGCCCTTGACCAAAGTACAGATTCCTGGGCGCTGTGTCCTATATCTGAATCTTTTTTTAAGATTTTGTTTATTTATTTCTAGAGAGGGGAAGGGAGAGAGAAAGAGAGGGAGAGAAACTTCAATATGCGAGAGATACATCAATTGGTGGCCTCTTGTATGCCCCGAACCAGAAACCTGGCCCCACAGCCCAGGCATGTGCCCTGATTGGGAATCCAACCAATGACCTTTTGGTTCCCAGGCTGTCACTCGACTCACTGAGCCACACCAGCCAGAGCTGCATTTGTTTTTAAAAGACTATTTTTTAGAACAGTTATGGGTTCACAGCAAAATTGAGAAGGTAAAGAGATTTCCCATATACTCCCTACCCCACACATTCATAGCCTCCCCCATTATCACATCCATCACCCACTAGGGTGGTACATTTGTTACAATTGATGAGCCTACATTGACACATAATAATCACCCAAAGCTCATAGTTTCCATGACGGTTCACTCTTGCTATTATACATTTCATGGGTATGGACAAATCCATAACAATATGTAGCCATCATTATGGTATCAGATAGTATTTTAACTGTCTTAAAATCTTTTAACCTTAAAATCCTTGGTGGCCTGCCTATTCATCCCTCTCTCCCTCCTCCAACCCTTGGCAACCACTGATCTTTTTACTGTCTTTATAGTTTTGCTTTTTCCAGAACGTCAGATGGTTCAAATCATTTACAGTATATAGCCTTTTCAGATTAGCTCTTTAACTTCATGATATGCATAGATCTGAATTTTTAACTAATCCCTTGGTAATATCTGAGGTAGGCAGGAGGTCTGTCAACTAAACCTTGAGAAATGTTGGTGGGATGGAAAGAGAACTAACAGGGAGATCAATGAATATGTTTTATTGCCAGTGATGCTGCTTACTTTCACCCTCAGCAAGTTCTTTTATTCTCTGGGTCTCAGTTGCTTTATTTGTGAAATGAGGGGTGTTTGGCCCTTCCAGCTCTGACATCCCAGGAATCTCTGAGGCAGTATTATCTAGGGCTCTTCCCCCTCCCCCCGCCCCTTCCTCCGAGGAAGAAGACCGAGCAAGGAGGCACTGGAGCCCCTAACCAAGTTGAGTAGGTCTCCATGAACTATCTCTGGAGACCTGGCTGAGAAAGACTGTGGCTCTGGGTTTGATATCTGCAGGTGTCAGGCACAAATGGGGCTCAGAAGATTTCAGCCCTGCTGCAGGCAAGGGGTGTCCAGCTCGCCTTCATCGTGGACGAGTGTGGTTTCATCTTGGATGGTTTCATTCCCAGCATCACGAAGCCCTTTGCCTTGTGAGTAGGATACCCTGCCCCCACCTTGGAAGGCATTCTCACACACCCGAGATGACCCCAGCCCGGTTACCTGTAAGCCCTGCTGAAGCAATTCTATATTCTACTCTTGCTTTAATTCCCCTGAGCTTCAGCCTGTTCTGGGCTCCCCTTTTCCCTCCTCTTCTTAAAGTATACATTTCTTTAGTTACCATGCAGCTGACCTCCTAGTCCCCCAGACCACTGTGCAGATCAGCCTGGAGGCCTAAGGGATAATTCAAGACGAGAGGAAATTAGCAGGGCCCTTTCTCATCCTCCACTGCAGTGTTTCAGTCTCAGAGAAGGGTTCACTTAACCTCATCCTGCAAGTAAACATGACTCCAGGCCACTCTTCAGCTCCTCCGAAGGAGACGAGCATTGGCATCCTCGCAGCTGCTGTCAGCCGGTGAGCAACCCCTGGCCCTGCTCCCTGGCCAGGTTCCTGATGGAAGACCTGGCACTTTCCAACCTTGAGTTCGAGGACGCTAAGCTCCCTGCCCTAGCTGGACTGAGAAGCTGTGGTGGGGGCTGCAGGGAGGACAGAGCCACCAGTACCCAGACAACAGTTAGAGGTCAGAAGGGGATCTGCCCACGTGGCACGCAAAGTCCAGCAAACAAAAGCCAGCTCAAGCAACTGGAATAGTCCAAGGTCCAGAACAAAAGTTAGAAATACATGTTGGCAATGACACGCACTGTCTAAATTCTCCACCTGCCCTGGTAAGAGGACAAAGATAAGTAAAGGCTGCTGGCTGTAGGGGAGGACAATAGGGTCTGTACCCACAGAGCCTACCTCTATCTGGGTTTGTTTGGAATTTTTTTTAGCAAAGTGGGAAGAACTATGTTTATCGAATTAAATATTCAAATGACTACCTACCATGTTCAGGCTTTGTGCAGAGTAGTGGGCATACAATGGTGGGGAAAAAGGACAGTCCCTTTCCTCAAGTAACTCAGACTTAGTGGAGGAGACTGACAATTCTGCTACTGTGTGGTAAGTGATAGGAGGGCAAGTGGGTGCCCTGACTCGGACTTGGTAGGCAGAGACAGCTCCTGCTGTTGAAGAAGAGGTGGTCTTGCTTGTGCTTTGAGATCTTTGAATAGTTAATTGGTGGGTGTAAGTAGGGGACCTCCTGGCCAGGCCTGCTGATACATCCTATCTCCCTCCTTCTCTTCAGACTGCTGATCATTGACTGCAGTTGGGTGAGTCCTGAGAACTGCTTTTCTCTTCCAGACTGGAGCGCGCAACGATGCCGAGCATGTTTGGAAGCGAGCCATTGAGGATGACATTGCAGCAACTGGCTAATGAGGTGTGGGAAGAAGTCTCATGTACTGCTGGTCAGCTGTGGCAGAGGAAGAAAGAGTGGCAGAGAAGTAGCCTCCCAAGTAATAAATTTACGGGCCCTACTGTTTACCAGTGCTCTGCCTGTTCTCATTAATTTTCAGCCACTGGCTGAGCCAAGGCACAGGATCTGGCTTGTTCCTTGGGGTTCTTGGTGCTGATCTGAGACCCTAAGACCTGACACACCCAGGCACCTTTGGGAGATGGTTCCCACCCATCTCAAGGCTGCTGCTGACATCAGATCTAAAGTAGGAAGAGACCCAGGCCACAGGAACGGTGACCCTGTTGTTATGCTGGCCCCTCTGAAATCCTGCTGACCTGTTTTTTTCTTTCAGTTTTCCTTCCCTACCAATATAATCATGAACAACCTGTGGCTATTTGGGCCCTTAGTAAGAAGGTGAGGTTTTATCTCTTTCCCTCGCATCCCCCACTCCCCACCTACCCACCATCCAATCCCCTCTCCTTGGCTTAGCTGGACCTGACCCATCATCGTCCTTCAGCCACCAGACACTATATGCAATTCATATATAAGACATCATCCTAGTCTTAAAGATCTCTAAAGCTCAGAAAAGTGGGTGGTCCCCCAACCCATTTTTTTCCTCCCCATTAGACAACACCTAACCTGAATCCTTTTGTTTTAGATCAATGGAAAGTGAACCTATAACCAATGCGCTGGTCAGGACTACCATGGCAGTCACTATGTTCCAAGCTGGGATCAAGGTAACACGTTCTGGTTGCTCCCATACACCCTTTCCTCACTGCCCGCCCCCACCTCTACTCCTTGGCCTTATTCACTGGGTCCCCTTTCCTTCTCTGATTACAACTGGAATAATAGGAAGGCCCAGAGCTGATGGGCCTGCGTCATCAGCTGTGGAAGCCTCAAGAGCAAGAGTTCTGGCTGAGATCTACAAACTCTCTGAAACTGCTGGTCGGATTTTGTACATTAGTATCTTAGAGGTGTCTATGATCTCCCGTACGTTCTTTGGGTTTTACGAAAAACAACCATGACACTAGTGTGAAGAGAGTTTTTTTGGGAGTTCATTCTTATGACCTATAGTCATTCAACATGGTATATATTTATCTGTATTTCACCATGTATAATGTGCACCCGCATTTTTGTGTGCGTTATACACAGGATTATTATGCCCATTATTATACCTATAGTATATAATCATTACACCCATGTATAATGCACCTCCTTATTTTTCCCTCAAAAATTTGGGCAAAAAACTACACATTATACTCTGCGAAACATGGTACCTAGACTATTAGTCATGTAGATTAAAGGTTTCTAACCTTTCTACTACCAAAGATCTGTATTATTCTTCCTCATATTTTGAAAGATATATCCCCCTAACAAATTTAATGAGTGATTAATGTATTTTCCCCTAGTGTTACCCTGAGTTGAAAAGAGGAACTCGCCTGCCATTTATAAAATCTATAACATTTGTGATATACACAGCACTTGATATATAGACATTGTCATTCCCCAAATACACTAAGTATTGGGTGGCAAACAAATTCTTTATGAGGTTTACTTTTCATAGAAATAAGTTTCAGGTGAATAATACTTTGATAGACTTTTCTTCTAAGAAGTGCTTTTCAGCAAATTAGTCTACTTCCTTCCAGTTATGCTAATTAGCATGGGTGTAGGCCTTTCTGAAACTACGTAAAGAGTTAGACCATTGCCGTGATTGTAAGCACCGCCAACAACTTCAAATGCACCATTCACCTAGAATACAATGGGCCTTGTGGCGCTCTGGTAATCTGGAACCCAGGCAGAGTCGAAGTGAATGGGACCCCAGAAATAATTGCTGGCATATCTGACTGGGGTGCCCAGTATGTCGGCCAGACCAGAGCTGTCTTCACCAGCTACCTAGGGTGTCCACCAAAATGATAGTACTTTGTCCTTGCATTTGAATGGTGTTTTTATCTTTTCAGAATACTTTAACATTGTTACTACATTTGATCTTCCTAACAGCTCTATGAGTATTATTATCCCAATTGCCAGTTGAGAAACAGAGGCGTAGAGAGGTTGTACTTACTCAAAATCAGACACCTAACCTGTAAGAGGCCAGCTTTCCTGTCCCTAGTCTGGTGCTCTTTGGTACCATACCAGTTCAAAGGATGATAGGCGGGGGGATCTGTTTTCTGATGGCCTCCGAGGAGGGGGGAAATCCTTCCATGGCTTAACTCCCTTCTCTGGTTAGTCCTGGGTTCTTCCCGGGAAGGCAAAGAACAGACTCAAATGTCACAATTGGATGTGGGCAACCGGCAGCAGCAGCACCATCAGGACCCCCTGCGGGGATCAGACATGCCATGATGGGGCCTGCAGAGGCTGTGAACACCCTGTTCTGGGGAAGTGCTAATGCTGACCTTTGCAGAGAGGCCCTGGACCCCCTGGTAAGAAGAGCGTGCACAGGAGACTGCCAGTGGCACTGCCCAGGGCCAGAACAAAGGTGCCTGGGTGTCCCAGACAAAGGAATCTTGCTTTGAGCAGCTCCCTGTGATGCCCTCCAGGCTCAGGAAGCACAGAGGTCGGCCCTAAAGCAGAGACACGCCTGTAGCCACTTGTCAGGGGCCGAGGGAAGACAGAGGACTGGCTGAAAAAATTAATCCCCAGGCTTTAAATCGAATCAGCTCCCTCTCCCACTGCTGGCGGTGTAGTTGGCATTTCCTGGGCAGGGGGCAGGTGTGGAGGTTTGGCTCAGGCCAGGACATGTGGTTCTCCCTCTAGGTGAATGTCATCCCCGCAGTAGCCCAGGCTGTAGTCAACTTCAGGATTCACCCTGCACAGACAGTCCGGGAGGTACGTACTGTATGCTCCTGGGGACTGATTAGTATCAGAAGTGTGGCTCTTGAGCCCTGGGTTTGGCTCCAATCCCAGGGCTGGCCCAGGTCTCTTAGTTGTTCAACCAGCATTTTTCAAAGGCTCCCTATGCACCAGGTACTTGGCTGGGATAAAAGCTCTTGGTTTGGGGAAGCTTGGAGCCTGGGGGTGGGTGATGAAGACTAATAAATGATAATAATAGTAAGCCTAGTAGGCTTGCTATGTATGTGGCACTGTCCTAAGATAGACAACACACTCATTTAATCCCCACAAGCACCCTGTGAGGTACAAGTTGTAGTCTCCTCATTGAATGTGGAAGCTGAAGCACAGGTAAGGAACATGCCCAAGATTACCCATCTGGCAGCCTAGCTCCAGATTCTGTGCTCTTTGCTTTAAGCTACCACACTTGGGATGAACAAATGAAAATAGGACCAGTCCAAAGAAGGGAACTTATGCTATCCTATGAGGATCAGGAAAGTCTTTTCTGACCACTGGAAACTTGAGCTGGGAATGAAAGGACAAGCTGGACTTTGCTAGAAGTAAGGCATTCAGAGAAACGCTAAAGTAGAGCTAAAAAGCAGGATACATTGAGGGGAAGTGATGAGAGATGGAAATGGAGGTACAGTTTGGAGATCAAGGCCTAGTCCATCATGCTCATGTGCCTGGGCTCTCACCTGTGGACAGAAGGGAACTGTCAGAGGTGTTCAGACAGGGCAGTGGTCTCAGATTTGCTTTGAGGGAGGTCATGCGGGCGGCAACGCGGGGGAAATGCTGGAGCAGGGAGGGACAGTTAGGGAGCTGTGGCGATATCTCGAGCAGTTGGGTATGAAGGTTTCCACCGAGGCTGTGGTCAGGGGGCGAGAAGAAGGTGCCCGCAAGAGGTGTGAGAAGGATGGCCGGGGAGAGAAAGGGGGGTGCTCCAGGGTTTTTTCACCTGTGTAATTGGCCAGGTGCTGATGCCTTTAACAGACTGGGCATTCAAAGAGAGCAAGTTCGCAGAGAAATGTAATGGTTCCGAAGGTTGAGAAACCCATAGTATATTAACAGGCCATTATAATAAGTACCTCAGGCCTGGAGAGAGGATGAACTGGAGGTACGGGCTGGAGCGCAATTAACATAGCTGAAACCTCTAGCATCAATAAAATCCTATGGGAAGGATGCATACAGTTCAGAGAGAAGGGGGTGGAGGGCAGAGCCTCGCAAAGGTCTGCTACAAACATCAACTTAAAAATTAATGAATGTGTAATGGCAAACTGTGATGAGTGTTATGACGGAAAGGAACCAGGTGCTATTAGAGAACATAATGAGGAACCAGGACCTGTGTGGGGACAGACAAAGCTTCCCTGAGGAAGTGACACCTGAGCTGGAAGCTGAAGGATATGTAGAAGTTATACAGAATGTTTGACATCTACAGGAAAGGCCAGCTTATTTTAACATCAGTTTGAGTTAAAAAGAAGTCAAAAGGGAAATCTGATCCTTCATAAAATGATCAGAAGAGGCAACTGAACCACCTTCAGGGAAATAATACATTCCAGAATTAAGCAGAGTTAGGGGTGGGTGGTATTTCCTGGGTCTCTGGCACAGATCATCAAGGGTCAGCTGCACTTGGACGTCTGCGGTCCTTTCCCCATAAGTTCTTCCCCCACAGAAGGTTTTTGTTCTGTCACACGGAGTGGGAGGCACGGCCCTCTGGACGGGCGGTGGAGGCAGGGTAACAGCCTGCCCGGAGTGAGCCTGCATTCCAGGAGCTGGGCCCGGTGTGGGCCCTGGGCTCTGCTGCTTTTCATCAAGTGCCAACCTTTGTCCTCTCCCTGGTGGCTCATGGGGCCAGGAAATCACTGAATTCCCCTCATTGATCTTCTTTCCACTAGTTTTTTTCCAGCCTCATTCCCACTCCATGCCCTTTCCAAGGCTGTTTCCACCAGCTGGGGCTTTCATCTCCCCAGGCTCTGGCTCCCTTCCCTCCTCTCCAGTCCCGTGCCACAGCGGCCTTCCTTCCCGGTCTATCTGATGAAAGCCCTGGAATCCCTAGGCCCGCCCTGCCCTCCTGTCCAGTGAGGAATGGAAAGCCTCCACCATCCTGCAAGTGCACAGCACCCTTTGCCCTGGTCACTCTGTTCCCTCATGCCTCAGTTCCATGCATCAAGGACACTCCCTGCTGGTCTGAGGGCTGCGGGTACAGAACCCTGGGCTGGCCTCTGGGAACACAAACAGCTCCCAGACTCCTCTTTCTCCATCTTTAACTGGTCTCTCCCACGTTGCGGATGTAGGTAGGGCTCTAGAGTCTATAAGGAATAAAAGTCTTCCAAAATGTAATAGGCCACCACATGAGAAGGAAGGTTTGTTCTGAATGGGCCTCAAGGGATAGAAACAAGGCCACTGGGAGATGCCTCAGGGAGCCCTCACTTAAAGGAGAGTTTTAGAATTTGGAGCCTTGGAGCCTTGGCTGGTAAAGAGCTCCTCATAGACTGGGTGTCCATTCATCTAGAGGGTAATACAAAAGGTTCCTTCCTTTTTTCATCCCTTCCTTTCCCCCTCTCTTCCTCCCTTCCCAAGTGTGTTTAAGAGGTAACTATCCCCCCCCCAAAATTACAGGGTGATGTGTCCCAGAGTGATGGTGGGGTGGGGTGGGATGGGGTGGGGGTGGAGCAGTGAGCAGGTGCAAACACAGTGGTCAGTTCCCTCTGAGGAGGTATTGACGCTGAGACCTGAGAAGGAGCACAGGCCTCTAACTTCCACACAGGTGCAAGCTTGCGGGGCGTTTACAGTGTGTCTAGTGCTATATCATATCCTGTGAAGTGTATGCAACACCAAAAAAAAAAAAAAAGATTGGGCTTAGATGCTACAGAAAACCTTATCTCAGTTCATTATAAGGAAGACATTCTTAGCTGAGCTGCTCAAAAGTAGAATGAAATGTGACATGTGATGGTGAGCTTGCTGCCCCTGGAAGAGTTCAAGCGCAGGCTGGATGACAACCTGTCACGGATGTTCTAATGAGCGGCCTTGCAGCAGGACCGAAGCTGGACTTACCAATTAAGTATCCATTGTCCTTGCTTTCAACAAATTTGCCGTGCACTTGAGAGACAAATATGTCTACACATAAAAGAGAACAACATGCCACTGTGGGAATGTGCTATTAGGACTGTAGAAGTTAAGAGAAACGAGAGACTTATGTGCTTTCAAGTCACTTGGGAATCCCTCTTCCCATTGCCAAGCCCCTCCTCCTAGTCCTGTCCTTGTGTTTCTGCTTATTGCCCAGGAGAGTGCCCACGTTCTAAGCAGGCAGATAGCAGCTAACACTTGATGAGTCTTTGCTGTTTGCCAGGCACTGGCCTAAGGACATTACATATATTAATTCCAGTAATGGTCACAACCCCTTACCAGGTAGTTGCTGTTAATATCCACATGTTAACAGGTGAGCGAGCAGAAACACAGAGTGGTTAAGGAGCTCACCCAAGGTAACACAGCCCTAAGTGCTGACTGAGGCACAAAGTTTGGCGTCCTCAGCTTTTGCGCATGCCCCTTTCCGTGTTCAGACTGCCTCTTGCCTCTGCATCACTTTTCTGTCCTTCCTTCCAATTCTGGCTCAAAATTCATACCATCAAGGAATTCATTTTAAATGACCACTACCCTCTTGCTAGCTCTGTCCTTACCATGTCAACCTGTAGGTACTTTGGAAGCAATTAAAATTGTCTTTTTGATGTCGGACAGACTGGGTTCAGACACTCAGCCCAGCAGCACTAACTGTATCACCCTGGGTAAGCCACTTAATGAGACAACTCCCAACATTATTTTTATTGGTCCACATCTTTTAAATGTCATGTATTCAACATTTCTTACATGTATTTAATGTCCTTCGTACTGGAAGTCTAGAAATACAGTAGACACAGGGCTTGCTTTGAGACTGAGGTCTTGTGGCCACTCACTGAAAGGGGTCCAACCTGTGTGCCCTCTTCAATTTTGAGGGGCAGGAATCTTAAGTAATTTAGGTCAGAGGAGCAGCAGGCCCAGCCCCAGCCCCAGCCCACCTCCAAGGGAATGACTTCAGGAACCTCCCAGTGCCTCAAGAATATGTCATGACTATGTATTGTATTAGAGTACTGGGGACACAAGTACTAGAGTGAAAATAAGCTCTGAGCTGACCACTCTTCCCCACCCCAATCCAAAGGTAGGATATTGGTTTGGCTCAAAGGGGTTCTAAGCCAGAAAGAGGAACCCTCCTTTCCTTTCCAGACTCAGCTCCTAGCACACGCCTAGGGGACACTGACCTAAAGGGTACTCAAGATAACGTCCCCATTTAGGTGACCCCCAACTATGGGACACTCCCCTATCTAGGAAGAGACGTCTAAAGCAACTGCTGATCCTGCGAGTTGAAACTAGTGCTGGCGTTTTCCCTGCCTGGCTGGGTAGGCTGAGGGAGCCACCCCAAGCCAGCCTCCTGGTCCATTCGCACATGGCTCCGTGTGACGTAGTCTTGAGGGTCTGGTCTACATCCTGCCAGAACTTTTGCTGGATTCAGCTCTAGTCATTTAGACTGAATTTCTAGGAGCTTCCTCAGGTTCCTTCCTGAGGAAAGGAGGCAGAGTTTTAAAACTTCAATACCAGTTCCCTGACTCCTGGCTTTTTGTCTGTGTTGAGCTCATCTTCCTGGTTCCAGCGCAGTTGGTTACAAACAGGAAGCAGGGATGCCCAGAGAGGGGAAAGCAAAGTGGGTGACCTGTTTCTCACCTGTCTGAGGCTATCCCAGGCTGAAGTGAGGTCATCACACCTATTCCCCTGCCTCGAGATCGTTGAGATTGGCATTCTGCTGACTCTTCTACAGTCTCACTTGGCCCATGGCTCGCAACCCAGGGGAAAGGCCCACCATTTCCTGACTGTCCAATTCCCTACCTGCCTCATGTCTGTGAGGCAAGTCTCCCAAGCACATAACCTAAATTGACTGTGCTGTAAATTGCTCTCCAGAAAGACCCAGCCCTTCTATCCCCTGCAGCCAGTTGGCTGATATTGTGTCACAGTGCTAAAAATGAGTCTCCTCTGTGACCCCTGGGCTCTGCCATGCTCAAGAGAAATCAGGACTGTTTAAATTCCCATAGTACTTGGATAGAAGATTCATAAGATGTCAAACTCTCTTTGTGTCCTCCCTGGAGGTCCTTGAACTAGCCAAGAACATTGTGGCTGATGACCGGGTCCAGTTCCATGTGTTGAACACATTTGATCCCATGCCTCCCAGCCCCTATGATGATCAGGCCTTGGGCTACCAGCTGATCCGCCAGACCTTACAGTCCCTCTTCCCAGAAGTCAGCATTGTCCCAGGTAATGATTTCATCAACTACGCCTGGAGGGTGGGAGGCTGGAACTGTTTCCTATCCAGTGTCCACTGCCCCACCCCCACCCCAGCTGCTGAGCCTGAAAACAGCTGGCTGCTTCCCCTCCTGATGGGACTGGAACTGTATCCCTCCACCCTCTTCCCTGGAGTGGAAGTGAGAAAACAAACAGGAAAGGAGCAGAAACAATTAAATTAGGTCAGGTCAAGCCTGGTTCTTGCTTAACCTAGACCAGACTGAATGGAGGAGAGGATCGGCCCAGACTCCCCCTCCCTTGGAAGGGGAGGTGGCCAGGTTCCGCCTGGTCTGGTTCTGATCCATGCTAGGATACAGCCCCCAGCAGAACTCAGAAGCCCAGCATTACCCCCCGACCTGCACCGTCTGCATTTACTCCCTTCTCCCCCAGCAGCTGTACCTCTGTGCCCTTCTCTAGTCTTCAGCACACTTTCCAAATCTATGCTGTATAGACAGTGGTTCTTGAATTCAAGAGTAATAGAGGATCCCCCTAGGGAATATATCAAAATGCAGATTACCTGGGCCTATTTCCAAAGAGTTTGGTTAACTAGCTCTGGAGAGGACCCTGGAATCTGCATTTTAAGCAGATATACCAGGGGATTCTAACACCAGATGATGGCTGACCACAGTTTGAGAATCTCTGGTCTATGGTTTGAGGAAGAAATGCTCCACTGTTAAGAACTGGGCCCAGTTCCTTTTTATCTAGGTCGAATCATGGATTCCCTCAAACACTGTCTAAGCTTGCACTTCGGACCTGCCCCTTTGCTTGGCACAGGTCCTTATAGAGCTTACTCTGAAATTCTACATCCACGAAAACTGAGGCATGAAAAAAAGCAGCCTCGTTTTTTGAATCGACTTAAACCTGACTATAAGGCCCGCTCCGCGAGAAATTCAGCCTCCAAGGACCGCCCCCAACTCCCACCTTGAATCAGGCCCTCGAGGTTTTATGTAGCAACAAAGCATTAGAGTCCCGTGGCCAGTGGCCATTGGTCCTTGTGGTTACCTCTGAGACATCCATTGTCCTAGCTACAAGGTCACTTCAAGTTGGAGATTTCCTCCGATTCATTCCCTGGCCTATGTGGAGAACAGGATCTTTGACGCTAGATTTAAAATCCCACCTCCATGAAGACACCAAGCAGCCATCCCCCTGACGTCTGCCACTTCCTCGGACTTCTGTCACAGAGTAGGGCCTGAGCCTTCCCCCAACCCCATCCAGTGACCCTGGTCCTCACCGTCCCATATTCTCCCTTCTTGGCCCTAAAAGGCTTCCTACCCTATCCTCTCCCTTCTGAGGCATCTGCTGTAATCCCATTGACAGGGTTGTACAGAAAAGATAGGCAGCAATCAACTGTCAGAAATCCCCAAAGCAGGGAATTGTGAAGGGCCTAGTTACTCGTCTAAAGTCAGGAGTGGAAAATAGAACAGAACACAAGTTACCATCTCATATCATCCCACTACACTTCAACTGATGCTCCAGGGGGTGTTTTCCCAAAGCACACTCCAGCTGGGACAAGTCCCAGCCAAAGCTGGGGATTTGGGTGAGCTGCTTCAAGACAGTGGGACACTGGAGAATATCCTAGGACGTGCCTAACCTGAGGTTTGACTCTCAGAAGACAGGCTGGGAATAATAGGAAGTTATGTTCCACTTTAAGAAGATTGCATTTTATAGCAGTAAAATTCCCTCGAGGGTGTTTATTTTTGATCTATGATGATACAGAAGAAAGCGGGGTAATACAGAAGTGATATTTACATTCATGGATACTACAGGGGTAAGCAAATATAGGTTTACAGTTGTGAGTACATGAAACAGTTTATTCTTGTATTATTAATTCTTGTATTACATAATTGTCTTTTTTAATACAAAACTTTTTTAAGGTTTTATTCATTTTTGAAGAGAGAGAGAAATGTCGATGTGTTGTTGCCTCTCGTATGCCCCCAATTTGGGATTCATCCCGCAACTGAGACAAGTGCCCTTGACTGGGAATCGAACCAGTGACCCTTTGGTTTGCAGGCTGGCACGCAATCCACTGAGCCACACCGGCCAGGGCTATTACATAGTTTTCTACGCGAACATCTATAAACCTACTTTTGCCCACCCCTGTAGATTTCTAAAGTAGCCTGGCTATGGGTATGAAATAGGTACTGACCTCCCTGGTCATCTTGGTGAGAGGACACTTAGCTTTGGATCATTCAAGAGCTATCTTACTAATGCCCTAGAGAGGAGCTTCCGTGTTTCTGGCTGAAATGGCATTTCAGTAAAGCTTTGAGAATGGGTAGGTTAAATGATAAATATTCATAGCTGCAGGCTCTCCAGAGGGCCCTTGCTCTGCAGTGACCTGAGGCTCTCATTTTCCACCTCCAATCACTCCTGGCTTGGTTGCTCACCAAAGCCCCCTTTTGATGTTTCCTTTCTAGGTATTTGTATTGGCCAAACAGACAGCCGACACTATTCAAACCTCACCAGTGGTATCTATCGGTTCAACCCCCTCTATGCACAGCCTCAGGACTTCCGTAGGTGAGTGAGTAGAACAGGTTTGAAGCAACTGACCTGTCCCCTTTCCACCCCTTTCTTCTGAAAGTCTGCAGAATGAGGGAAGGCTGGGGTGTGTACAAACTAAAACGGAAACATTGTAGAACCCATCTGGCCAACTTTCCTCATTGCCAGAGTCTTGCCACTCCCCAGAATGTGTGGGGATAGGCCACTGTTTTTCAGGGATGGAGATTAAAAAGATGATTGAAGAGAACCAGGTAGAAGTAGGACCCTCGAGGGCTAATCCCAGCTCTTCCTCCCTTTGGGAGAGTGCTTACCCTCTGAACCTCGTTTTCTTCCCCCAAATGGGGAGACTCTGGAGTTCCTGATGATCACTCAGTGAAATGTAGACACGCATGAGGTCAAAGGTGAGCACCTGCTTTGAATTCTCAGAAGGAAACACACTGGGATCCTAAGACACACTCACACATTTTAACTGCTGTGTGTGATTCCTACCTCCTGGCTTCTTCAGCAAGGTTTAACCCTGGGCCGTGGGAGGACGACTTCCATTTACCTCTCTGCTCCTTGTCATATCCAGACCTGATTTCCCCACAGTAAGTCAATTGCCAACAGAATGAAAATCTTTGAATATGAGCTAAACAGCTTTCATGGTTTTTATTTATTTTTTCGTTTCTTTTAAAGGCGCAGGTAGTTAACTCTGTATCTCCCTTCGTCTTTGAGGTTACGTGGTTGTGTGTTGTTCTGCGTTGTGTAGAGGCAGGCTGAGGGCATGAGGTCTGACAGGGACGCCCCTAAAGGGAAGTGCAGGACACTGCCAGTACCGTAGGCACTTGCCCTCCCTAACCTCTTGTGCCCCTGGTGATGTGGGTGTGGCGTGGGAGCCATGCTGGCTTAGAGATAAGCCTAGCTAGGGGCCCTGGCCTGAGAGAAAGAGACTTAGAAAGATCATTTCTCTTCAGAGGAGAAACTATAGAATGGTTCCAGAGCAGGAGATGATTTTGAACTCCCCAGAAGTTCGTTGTTACTTAGCTCCACAGTTCTTTGCTATGGGCTCAGACCCCCATATGTCATAGGAAACTTCACTTCTTACAAATGGCCTCACCCACCTCGTCCACTTCCTACCCCAGAAGGTCAAAGGCCAGAGGCTTCTGGGGGTATGAGGTGGGGAGTGTTCTCCAATAACATGTGCTTCAGCAGTGGGCTGTCTCTTTTCTTCCCCCAAATCTCTTTCCCTCAGCATCCATGGAATTAATGAGAAAATCTCAGTCAAAGTCTACAGGACCCAGGTGAAATTCATCTTTGAGTTTATCCAGAATGCTGATGCAGACCAGAGGCCAGTTTCTCACCTGCACGAATTGTGAGGTCCAGGAACAGCTGGATCAGGGGTGCCCGACTCTGGGCCGAGACTAACCCGAAGGAACAAGTCGATGTGGATGAAACTTTGGGTCAAAACCACACTCAAACCCTGACTGGGTAGCTCCCTTGGTAAGAGCATCATCCTGAGACACCAAGGTTGAGGATTCAATTCCTGCACACACAAGAATCAGCCAAAGACTGTATAAATAAGTGGAACAACAAATGGATGTTTCTCTCTCTCCCCCTCCTTTCTCTACCTCTAAAATCAATCAATAAACAAAAAATAACTTTTAAAAACCATTGTAATACATCACCACCTGCCTTCCTCACTCCTAAAGTCACCCAAGAACTAGGTCAGGGGTCAGCCATCAGGAATCTAGCTCCGCCCTTCCCACACCATCTCCATCCCTCGACTGACCAGCATTTCCTGCCTTCTTGTTCCATCTGAGAAGGTATCTGTCTTGTCTTATGCTGGTTGTTTAACAGCACCACATTCCAGGCCTGGCTTCCAAATGCAGATTTGAAAAATCTTAACCTGGTTTTACCTGCTGAAAGTGTTTAACTTAGGGCGCTCTTGCCAGGCTGCCTTGTCCATGGCTTATATATTTCTTCTTGCTGTCACTTCCTTTCCCTTTTTCCCCCTCTCTTCTTGGATTATTTAGCTGGCTCTTTGTCTCTCCTTTCCTGCATCTCTCCCCCTACCCTCCAATTTATTCAGGAACAGGATTTAGTCAAATAGTGATACCACCATAATTACCACAACAACTGGTCAAAAATTAAGTGCCCTGTGCAGCCTCAGCTGGTTACTGGGGGATGAAACTGAGGCAGGTGCTTTGGAGGAACCCCAAACCTCCTGAAGCTTAGAGAGGAAAGTCCCCGTCCTTGGGCTTCTGCCAAGGACTCCCTAGGCTTTGCGCCCTTCCCTGCCCTTTCCTGCCACCTGCTGCTGCTGCCCTATCTCAGGAAGCACTAATGTGTGGAAACATTTCCCTGGCACATCCTGTGGGCTGAGCCTCTCAGGAAAGGGCACTTGTGGTCCAGCGCCTCAGAGAAGCCCAGGACCAGCAGGGCCCAGGGCCCCGGCCTCAGGTCTTCGCGCTCAGACTTATCAAAAGGGAGTGCAGGGCATGGAGCAGGGGAGGGGGCAGGAGGAGACTGGCTTATGGGCATGAGGAAGTATAAGCTGCCCTCCCTTAGGGGATGGCAGAGCTCCTGCCTTTTTCAGGAATCAAACCCTTGAATCTGCTCAGTAGCTGTCAGGTGTGGGGCACTGGAAGGCAGCATTGCTTGGTTCAAGGCTGGGAGCTATGCTATGTGGGTCACACTGGCACTGGGGTCGCAGAGACACAAAGGGAGCTTGGGACTTGAGAGACTCCCGCCGTTCCTTACCAGACCGGGACCTCCCTGGGGTTTGACAGCAGTGGGCTTCTTTTCCTCCTGACAACCCCCTGTCCTGCCCACCACTCCTCACCTCCCTCCTGTGTGTGGATGCAGCTGCTCCTTGGAGCTGGAGCTTAATGGAAAGTGTTAAAAACTCAGTGCTGGGATTATTCGGGCTTTTTTGCTACTTGCCCTGAGATTCGCATTCCTTCCCTCACCCTTTTTTTGGCCAATTCAGTACTTGTTCAGCCTTTGTTAGAGGGGTAAGCTGAGGAGCAAAAATAACCCTTCACATTTGTACAGAGCTCTATAGAGGGCTTTCATACGCTTTATCTCATTGGAGCCCCACAAAACCTCCGTGGAGAAGATGTTACTCTTTTAAGTGAGAAGCAATTGATTCTCAGGTTACATATCTAGCTGGTGGGTACACATCTAACCCCTGCCGCCTTGCCCCAAACTCACTGTTACTCTGTGATCCTCAGTTACTGTTGGAACCTGCTTCCCATCAATGATCTTGTTTGATCCTGACAACTCTAAGGTATTGCCCCTGCTTCACAGATGAGACAACAGCTGAGACTCAGAGGTGTTGTGTTTGTCCAAGGTCATGCAGGTGCTACGGGCAGTCTATCTGCTAATAGTATTGAAAAGGAAACTGAGACTCTGAGAAGTCATTTGCCCAAGATCACGCAATTCTGAAGAGACAGCCCCAAAATTCAAATGCAGGTCAAAAATCCCCAAGTTTAGTTCTTTTTCAATTGCACCACACACTCTGCCCCAAGAACCTGTGGTGTGTGGCTTATTCATTCGGGTCCAAGGCGATCTCAAGGACAAAGGCTGTTCCACTGTTGGATTTAGTTCTTAGCTGTCTGTGTTCCCCTGGCCAACCTCTCCCTATTCACACCTCTCCCTCTGTCTGCCACTGTTTCCTACCACCCCAGCCCCAGCTTCTGGGTTCAGCTCTTCCCCCTTCGCTGAGCCCCAGGACAGCCAGGTTTCTAATGATCCATGGGATAACTGGGAAAAGAGCGAGCAGGGGATCCTGTCCCCATCTGGTGTCACCACTCTCTGCTAGCATCTGAAGGGATAGTCTTCTGAGGCCCTGGAGTGGAAAGGAAGGCTCTTGAGAGGAAACTGCTCCAAACCCTGGCTCTGCACACAGGTGTTGCAGCCCTGTGGCCACCAAAGGCTTTTCTGATGAGAGCAGCTAAGTGGTGGCCAGGCCAGGACCACATGAGCCCCAAGGCTCTGAGCAGGATGGGGCAAGGAGTCTAGGGCTTTCATCTGCCCCTGCCCCCATCCATCCACCCCTCCCCAAATCCACCTGCGGTAGATCTAGCAGATAATCGCAGGTACACCCGACACCCCCACCAAGGACTTAGCTTGAGCTTCTTATACTCACTCCCTAAAGTAGGAAGGAAGACAAAATATTTATAAGCAAAGAAAATAAAAAAGTAAAGGAGTAAAGTTTGGCTGGAGTCCTTTAATTTGGCCATTCCAGATCTAGTATATTTTTGTTTTTCCCAGAGCAGACAATAGAGAGACAGAGACCCTACTGAAGGGCTGGACGTGTCATTAATTTTTTTTTGAAAAGTTAAATCAAATTAAATGTTTTTATAAAAATGAAACTATTTACAGTTTTACTGTTCAGTGTTCATGTAGTTGTCAATAAAGTGGATAAGAATCCTGTTTCATGTATGTTACATCTAGGCCTACAAATATCAAAATGGAAGAATAATATAAATTGTTTAGCACTACAAAATGTTTCTCAGCCACCATGTGCAGTGCTGCAAGTGCTACACTAATTCACGAGTTGCTCGAGAACCAGAAATTGGAACTCAAAGAGGAGCGAGAAAGTGGATGCTCAGCACCACTGGGAAATATGTCATGCAGGAAGGAATCTATTGCAGTCATGCTATCTGGGGGAAGGATTTGACAAGTCAATTTTCTTTTTTCTTGGCTAGGCACTTTGACAACTCAGTTCCTCCCTTGCATTCCAAAGCCATGTCTGTCTCTCAGTTCACATTGATACAACCCACAAAACTTGAGAGTGTTCAGATGGGATTTTTTTTTTTCCTGAAAATGTAGGGCAAGATTCATGGAGAAGTGTTTCTCTGGGGCTTGAACTGTGCTAGTCCCAGGAGTATGTGTTCAGGGTGACTAGATGCTCCGAGTCAGCACTGAGTGCTGAGTCCAAGTGACAGAAACACCCCTAGGTTTTTAATAGATGCAGTTCTTTTGTGGTTGTAATATGTGGTACCTTCTAAAGCATGTCGCCCAGGGCAGGGGATTCTCTTGCCCAGGCCTAAGAGATAAGGTCTTATTTTAGATACCCCATGGTGCCTGGTCCAGGAAGTCAGGAAGGCCTCAGTGGTGAGGAGGCCATGAATAAGATGAGATTTCAAGCCTGAATAAGAGATCCTATAGAGAGAGAACCCTAAAAAGCTATTAATGAACTCAGTAAACAAGATAGAAAATTAATATTCAGAAATCAGTTGCATTTTTATACACCAATAACAAACTATCAGAAAGAAAAATTAAAAAAACTATCCCACTTACAATTGTATCCAAAAAATACCTAGAAATAAATATAACCAAGGGAGTAAAAGACCTGTGCTCAGAAAGTTATAAGACATTGAAAAAAAGGAGTTGAAGAAGATACAAATAAGTGGAAGCATATAGTGTGCTCGTGGATAAGAAGAATTAACATCGTTAAAGTGCCATACTGTAGATTCAATGCAATCCCTATCAAAATACCAACAGCATTTTTCACAAAACTAGAACAAATAATCCCAAAATGTATATGGAATCACAAAAGAACCCAAATGGAAAAAGAAATTTTGATAAAGAAGAACAAAATTGTAGGTATTATACTACCTGATCTCAAACATGCTCAAGGCTATAGTAATCAAAACATCATTGTACTGGCATAAAGACACACACATAGATCAATGAAACAGAATAAATAGCCTAGAAAGAAACCCAAGCCATAGTCAGGCTATGACAAAGGAAGCAAGAATATAAAATGGGGTAAATATAGTCTTTTCAATAAATGGTGTTGGAAAATTTGGACAGATACATGCAAAAAAAACAAAACTAGACCACTTTCTTATACCATATACAAAAATAAACTCAAAATGAACTAAAGACTTAAATGTAAGACTTAAAAGCATAAAATTACCAGAAGCAAACATAGACAGTAAAATCTCTGACATTTCTCTTAGAAATATTTTTTTCTCACACATATCACCTTCAGCAAGGGAAACAAAAGAAAAAATAGGGCTACATCAAACTAAAAAGTTTGTATAGCAAAGGAAACCATCGACAAAATAAAAAGACAACCTACTGAATGAAAGAAGATATTTGCCAATGGTACATCCAATAAAGGGTCAATATCCAAATTATATAAGGAATTCATACAACTTAACACCAAACAAACAATCCAATTTTTAAAAATGAGCAGAGGACCTGAATAAACATTTCTCCAAAGAGGACATACAGATGGTCGATAGATGAAAAGTGTTCAATATCACTAATCATCAGAGAAATGTAAATTAAAACCACCATGAGCTATCATCTCAAAACCATCAGAATGGTTATCATCAATAAATCAACAACAAACAAGTGTTGAGGAGGATGTGGAGAAAAGGGAACCCTCATGCACTATTGGTGAAATTGAAAATTGGTGCAGCCACTATGGAAAATAGTATAAAGGTTTCTCAAAAAATTTAAAATGAACAACTGTATTACTCAGAATCCTGCTTCTGGGTATTTATACAAAGAAATCCAAAACAATAATTTGAAAAGATTATTTATACCTATGTTCATTGCAGCATTATTTACAATAGCCATGATACGGAAGCAACCTAAGTGTCCATTGATAGATGATTGGATAAAGAGGT